GCATTAGTGGTGACTAGCTGTGAAGGAAACCAGTCTCCTGAGTCTCCAGATTTTGAGTTAAAATGTAAGCCAGAAACCCACAATCCCCGAGTTGAACAACTAGCCAGATTAGTGGTGCAGTATCTACAGATTGGAACATCCTTTCACTCCTGCAAATCCATATGAAGATTGCAACTCCGCCTTCCAGAACAATTGATGTATCCTGAGGGGATCTTGAGACAGATATTGAAATGTCCTTAGCTTTTCTTGAATTCTTCTGAGACTTTTGATTGGAGATAAGAAGTTTGCATGCCTTTGTGTAATTTTCTTCTTGGTATCAGATCACACACACAAAAATATTCCTCGTGGGAGGGAAGCAGGAGATGATCCATATTTTGCTATACTCTGCACTCTGGCAACAAGCTCTATAACTTGTCACTTCTGGTTTTTTGGGGTTGGATTTTCAGTTGTAATCAGTGAGATAACCTGCCAGTTAGAGTGCTAACATTGGATGGAGAGTCTCCTGTCTCTATTTCTTGTACTGTAACATAAGCTGATAGTTTGCTTTGCTTCTGTGCTCTTCCTTGTAGAGCAGAGAGATCTCCCCTGTTCTAGGGTATTTGGCATGGCACTTTTCTGCTGTGAAGGAAGTGCATTGCAGCTCTGTAGTTCTGATATGTAACTGTTATGCTGTCATATTTAGCTCATTAAATTTTAAATGCCTTGCTGTGAGTTTGGGATTGCATCAGAGAAAATGTTCTTAGACTTGATTCTCAGAGGAAAAGGAATAGCTTGGTTGAGAGGGATGTTTGGAGAGCAGAGTGAGGATGGTCTGCTGCAGCTTTTTAATTAAAATTCCAATGCTAGTTTGTAATTTTTATAAAGTTCTGCAGGGTTGATGGTCAGTCAGAAGCACTTCTATCAATAGTTCTTGTAGTTTTTTTCTGCTTTTTTGATTTCTCAGCTTACTGCTGTGGTAAGTTACTGCAACAGTGATGTAGTGGCTGTTAGGCAGAACATGCACCTTGTTCGCTTCTTGATTGCTTCAAATGAAGCTTCTCTACTGGAGATGCTCTTCTACAGTGAATAAAACATTATTCTAAGGCCAAAGAATTCTTTTTGTCTTGAGCTCCAAGGGCCTGTTTAGGGGCCTCAGCACATAATATTCCCTATTCTGTCTTGAGAACAGAAGGTGTTTTGGTGCAAAAAGCTACAGAAGAGCTGTGTGTTGCTATACAGAACTTGGTTATATCTGTTCTTTTAAACAGTACCTGTCTTAACATCCTTAGTTATTTTCTTGTGTGCATGTGTCTATATTGCTCTTAAAGAACCAGGTTGATATTTAAGGTCCTCATAACCCTCTGGAGCAGGAGTGTCTGCAGTGAGTCCCTGAAGAGTGCAGTTTCATTAACAAAAATGGGGAAGCATGAAATTTGAAAAATTGGTTGAGATGCGCAGCTTTTACTTTGTTCCCCAAGAAGCTAAAGCAAAGTTGATTTAACTTGTATTTGGAGTCCTTAATTGGTCTCCATGCAGATAACGAGATCTCTCATCATAGGTGGATGGGAGTTTCTTTTATTTTGTTGCATGAATAAAAGAATATTCACAACTTATAATTATATGCATGTCATGAGACTTAGTGTATATTAATAACTGTCCTGTGACTTTTTTCCACCTCCCTTGTTGCATGGTCTTGCTTTTCTATTAAGATGCCTATGACTGAAACATTCCAGTTTAATAGATTTTTGTCCTGGAAGAGACAGAATTCCCGTGTTACACATAGAGTGTAGGATTTTTCTGAATTAATTCCTGCTTCAAATCCCATAGCTGTGGATAAATATAACCAATCTTGACCAGAAAATGTAGGCATGAGAAATCCAGTAAAAACCTGATGTGATGGTGGTGGCTCTTGCTTCAAACTAGTTAATGAGACTCCTAACATGATGAATCCAAGTGCTGGGGGAGAATGAAAGTGAAATAGATCTCAGCAACCAGCCTGTGCTCTCCTAAATAACACCTTCAGAGTCCTAGAGTAGGGAAAACGATGATCCAGTCCTAGGGTGCATGTCTTGTGTCTTCAATTGGACCCTTATAAAATTAAAGTGTCTTATGTCTGGCTGAGTTTGATCAGCTTCCACTTTCAGCTGCTGTATATGGGTATGTCTTTGAGAAACTGTTTTTCCTGTTCCTAGATGTGTGATTTGTGGCTTTCTCCATTCCCCTACCCCCCTTTCCAAGTAGTGTTTAATTGCATTTGCTTTTGTAAGCAGCCTATGTGACCTGGGCCTTTTGTTAATTGCTGCTCTTCCTGTCTTTGTAGCTCCTGCAAATTTAGTGACTGCTTTCTTACAAGTCACTGGCTAGGGCTGAAATGGCAAATGGCACAGGGCCAAGAACCAGTACCTGATGGACCTCACTGCCAGTAGTTTCTCACTGCCACCAATGTTTCAAGAGCTGTTACTTAATTGATTTCTGATGATTTGTATTTATTTGACTGATTCTCTTTTTCTTTGGTTTGGCTTAGGTTTTGTTTTTTTTAATATCTGGTTTTAGTCAAGATGTATCATGCCAGCCCAAAAGTCTAAAATATTATATCAAATCAGTGGTTAATTAAAATTCTAGTTTTGTAAGACTCTAATGAGAATTCTTGTAAGCCTATGTTGATTGACACAATTTTTGCTATCAATTCCTGAGAACTGTTAATTGGTTTTGAAAACCTTTACCAATTTGATACCCCAGTACTAGCTTGTTTAATGTTGTGACATTTCAAAGTGGTTTTTTTTTTCCCTTTTTTTGAGCCCATTGGGGCTTCCACAATATTTCAGGACTTTCAGGAATTAAACACTGCTGCAAATACTCTGAGTAACTCACAGAAAGAAAACCAGCACATGTCCATTGAATATTAATATTAATATTATTAATATTAATATTATTAACTTACAAATGTTAGTAACACCACCTTGATAGATTTTGTTGAATGCTTATATGCCATTCTATTGAATGTTTTGTAGTATACCATACTCTTACATATATTAGCTAAAAATCCAATCTCTGTGTCTTGGTTTTGATTTTATCTTTGCTTACTTTTAATCTTCTCTCTGACTTTTGCAACATTTCTAAGTTTTGATTTATCTTTTCTGCTCTGAATCTTCCTGGCCATCATCCAACCACTTGTCTCTTTGTGCTTTTACTCCTAGTCACTTGGGTTTGGGTTTTGTTGGTTTTTAAATCTTTTTCCCCCATTTAGCAGGTCAGGTTTTTTTCCCCCATGGTTTTGATGGTTTCTAATATGTTCTTATATAGTTAAGAAATTTAAACAAAATATATAGGCAGCTAATGTCTTAAGTGACTTGACTAAATTTCCAGCTTTCTGAAGTTGTCCTTTTAATGTGCAAATTGCTATATATTTGGCTGTTTATTATAAATAAATGCTGATTAATCACTTCTCTTAATTTCTATTGCGACTGCAGTTGGTCCATTGCAGTTGGATTTGATCCTTGTGGATCACTTCCAGCTGTGGATATTCTGATTCTCTGGTTCTGTGACCTGCTGTACTTAATTGCTGGCCTGGGTGGTACTCATTAAGTCTATTGAGGTTTAGTTTATAAATTGATATTCACCAATTAAATTAATACGCACAGATAAGTGCTGAGGAGTTGACAACTATGTGTGTTGATTTTAATTTTCTGGCCTTGCTATGTTAATTTTTTTTTTTTTTAGTTATTAACAATTTATGTAATCATACATTCAGAGGACTTGTAGTCTGTGTTTTTTTACTACCCCCAAAATGATTTGTACCTGTAAGTTAAAGTCAAGCTTTACTGCTTTGACTAGATACATATCTAAGGCTGAATTTTGTAGTGACTATTCAAAGGTATATTTGAGCTGTGCTGTCTTGAGGGGGAAAAAAAGCATTGTTTGACATGCTAGGCTCTGTGTCAATGGCACTCCAGAAGTGCATCCCTATGCTTTTCTGAAGATCTTGCATTCCTGTTTTTGTAGTAGAGAATGTGTGTTTGGCTAATCTGCATTACTAGAGATGGCCAGTGACTTCTCTGATACTGTTATCCCAAGGAGCCTGGTACCTACTTAATGATCACATGGGCTCTCAGTTATAGGGGAGAAGATGACATGAGGGCCTACCTGGATTTGTTTTTTTTTCTTTGCAAAGATTAAATTAAACTATTATATTAAATTGTTATCTTACACCATTAGCCATCAAACTACAATTACAGTTTAAATTTATGACAAAATATTTGGTTACAGATGGGTAAAAATGCCAAGAAGTATGAAAATAAAACTGTTTAGGTTCAGAGACAAAACTAGTGAAAATTGATAATGCTGATCAAGCTTTTTTTCCCCCTCTCCTCTTTAGTTTTAGTTTCTTTCCTTGCTACCCTTAGCAGAAAAATGGCACAATATATATTCTGATTTTTATCAGAGGATGTTTTAGGGGATGCTTTACTTGTAGACTAACTGTTGTGAAATAGGAATTCGTGTGTAACAACCTCTGCATTTAAAAAGTTATTCCACCCGTGCTTCAGTACTGTTTTCTTTCTTTGTTCTGGGTTTTATTTTTTCTAATTCTTCACTTCCTAGAGAGCCTTCTGGAAAAGAGAGATGTTTTACACTTTATAAATTCAGGGTTTTTTTTTTTAAATTCAAATATTTTTTAATAAATTCTTATACTGACATCCAAAAAATGTTTTTCATTGGAAAGGTCACCAGTAACATTTGTGAGAGTTAAATATGTGGCTTCTTTGATTGTGAAGAGCATATCAGAGATCTAAATACAACTGATATTGAACATCTAATCTGATACATAAATAATACTGATTTCTAAAATAGTGGAATTTTCTTTCTTTTTCTTTCTTCTAATTCTGTTATTCCTGCAACTTTTCCACTGGCTCTGCTCTTCAGCTGCTATGAACTATCAGATGCTGAAATACAGATGATGAAAATATAGAAATTGGAATTTAGCAGAGGGAGCCATGTTAATTTCTGTTCCATTTGAAATGCAGGAAAATATCATCTGCCAAATGGAAAAGGACAATCGGTGGGAAAAGAAATGTTCTTTTCAAGCTTCTAAGAGCAGTGACAATGGAGAGAAAAAATACTATAAAAAGTAGGCAGCTCCTTTTTCAAGATTTTGTTTTCAATGTATTCTGCATGATTAACTGTACACAGTTGCTCTTTTGGAGCCCTGAATGACTGAACACAACATCACAGGGCTTAAACTGCCTTTGCTGCATTGCACTTTGCATTTGGGGGGAATAGGGCTCAGCTTTATGGCAGTTTTACCAGTCTCTTAGTAGAATTTTTGAATACATTCATACTTCCCTTATTTGCCTTTTTTAATGTCAAACATTGCACATAAGATGTTCTGCTGTTGCTATGCAACTGCTAAATCCAATATTTAATATTAATAAAACCCGAGTGGCATTAGCATCACTCAGAACAGTGGGCTAGCAAACTACCATCGTACAATATCCAAGCTGTAAAACTTGGCAGGGACTTCAGTGTGCAATTGCATGCATGGCAAACTGTGGGGCATGAGTCACTGGCAGTTACTATTAAAAGATTGATGAGTTTGAGTAAAATTTCTGAAGTCTTTTGACTTTTATACATATATATATATATATATATATATATATATATATATATATATATAATGTAAGTTTTAAACAAAAAGATCAAGGACAAGGTTGGTTAGCTATTTTCCTTAAGGTTTCATTTCAGAGTCAAATTCTGAGGGTCTCTACCCATATGTTAAAAACGTTATAAACTATTCAGAATTATAAACCTATGGGTCAATACCCTGATTCTCCTATTTTTCTTCTAGGTCAGGTTGGTCGGCCCTTTCCCACTGTTCCTGCCATTTCCTGAAGCCTGAATTGGCTTTTTTTGGAGGCAGTGCTACTTCTCTGCCTGACAAGGTGCTGTTCAATGGGATGTGTTTCCAGTTTCTCCTTTTCCACCTTGTTCCCTGATTTCTCCCTATTTCTCTTTACTCTTTGACTGTTATTTCACTTTTTTTTTAGTGTTTTACCTCAGCAATGTTTTTGCCATCTAAATCATGTTGCACCCTGCAAATTCTGTAACATCCTGCATCTGATCGCTGAAGATTTTGGTGCACTGGCACTCTTGCTGACACCCAGAGGGTGAAACGCTAGTTGTCATTTCCTTTTGAAGACTGCTCTCCAAAACATAACTTAGATATTAGATCCAGATAAATTCAGAATTATTTTAGAATTACTGCTCTTTTGAAGTGTAATAAACTATTTCCTTCATAGTACACGATCATTTAGATTTTGACTGATATCTTAAAGATTGCCATTTTGGGTAGTTTATCTGTCCCTGATTCACCCATGCGAGTTTTTCTAAATTTAAGACCATTTTTTTGTTTCTTAATTTGTTTTTTTATTTCTTCTTCTGCCACTCAAAGACTCAAATAAGTAGGAGAAGCTAGAAGCCTCTGGCTGCTTGCAAATCATTCTTAAAGCTACAAAGCAAAAAGTATTGGAAGGGGAAGGAAGGGCAGGCAATATAGTAAGTTATAGTCTTGAATTTTTCTGATCATTCAATTTTTATAAATTTTTATAAGGTGGAATTTGTCTACCACCCTTAAAATAATCTTTTTACTTTTCATACTTACTCTGCTAACTTGTCTTCTCACAGTACTGGGTAATTAATAGCTCTGTAGACTTTTTACCGCCAGCAGGGGGTCAGTGTAACATTGATTGAACTTTTCCAAATAATGGCAGTAATTTTGGTGCACGTTTTCCCTCTTCTGGAACAAACTCAAATTGATTAGATTTATTTTAAGTAAGGTATAAATCATGGCATTGAAGTAAACTGGACTGTGTGTGTCTCGGTTGTGGATCTGTGATGGAAATTTCATTCCTTAGTGATATGGCAACTCTGAATCCTTCTTTTAATTTTCTCTCTTCAAAACTGCCATTCTTGAGGAAACACTGATTCTAATGTTTACTGAAATTCAGAAAAGTAACTGAATGTCACTGAGATGGAAGAATGTATTTTTTAAGTTGGGAAAATATATCTTCTTTCAGTTTGGAGGCTTAAATGAGAGTATTCTTATTTGTGTAGAAATTACTCGGTCATATTGTGGAACCTGCAGCTTCCTATGTTCTTTTCAAAATGGTTTATTTCGATGTTGTAATGTTCTTTGTTTTTAACCTAGCTACTTAGAAAATTACCACAGTCAGTGGACTCTAGATTGTGCTATGATTTATCAGTAGTTCAGTCATCACAATTGACCTGTGTATCTTGTAATACTTGGAGAAAACGTGTTGAGCTCTGTTCTTGGAACAGATAAATATAGAACTGCTATTGTGAATATTGTAGTGACGTACTAATCTAGAAAGCTAACAATTGTTTTATTTGCTTTTAGGGTTTGAAAGTATTCTAGAAGGCCTGTTTGGACCTGGATTATTAAAAGATCTCAGTTTGTTTAAAGGTATTCAATCTCTATGTTTGTATCTTGTTCTGCATTTCTAATGACAGAAGCAGCCTCAGCTCTGCCTCTAGAAAATGTGTGTTACCGTGGTGATTTGTGCTTTTTTTTTCCCCTCCCCCAGGCAGTGCTCACAGTTAGTTTCATATTGGCTAAAATTACTAATGAGTGTGCGTTCATCTTTATGTAGCTGGGAGTGTATTTTGCAGTGGTCAGAAAAACAGATTTGTTGTGCATAGATAAAATGTATATAGTTTGGTAATCTGGGGATTTAGAAAAATGGCCGAAATGAAGCCTGAATCCTCAGAAAGCAGGCAAGAATGTTGTGAAACAGGTATTTAATTCAGCATTTCTCTTTTGGCTCCAGTTGTGTCGTGGTTTATGAATATGAAGTAATTTGCTATTCTTCTGATTTACAGACTGTGAGCCTGAAGGTGTTTCTGATTGGTCTTTTGATGAAAATTGTCTTTTCTGCTGCCTGAGAAGAGAAAAAGTGAAGGTAACAATGCAGATGTGTGAAGCTAGTAGTTTTAGGGGAGGGACAAAGGGAGGGGAGTTTGCTGCTCCTAGTTAACTGAATATGGAAAATGTGCAACCTCCTACCCCTTTCTTCTCTTTTGGAGAAAGGTTTTCTAAATTAAAATATGCAAGTTAATGAACAAACTTGCCTTTTCTCTGCAACTTTTTCTTTGTAGTATGTAATGCAGATGGTGGGTTTCTTTTTTTTTTTACCCTGTGCATTACCTCTTTCTGTTTGGTGTTTTTTATTTGTTTTGGGTTTTCTTGAGTTCTTTGTAAGGGATCTTGTTGGGAATCATTAAACCCTTCTCAAGGGAGCCAGACTGTGGCTTGTGCATGTTTGCTACAGTCAGATGATGGACTTACCTTCTGTATGGAAGTGTGGTCCATTTTAACAATCTAGAATCTTGTTCTGTACCTTGGAATCTTCTTCCCTGTAGGCTATATCCTTTTATTGAAGTGCTCTTCTGCATGGTAGTTTTTGTACTGTGCTTGTTCATAATGAAGTCAAAACCTAAACATGGACAAGTCAAGTTTGCCAACACAATAAACTTGCAGTTTATTTTCTTAAGGCGATTATAGTTGTATATAAAACCAAAGCTATGGTGCTATACTGATTATTGTTCAGCTCACATATTGAAATTGTGATTGTTCTGTAACATAGGAAGGATCATCTGTCTTGGCAAAACTTCATTTATTGGAATTTGTAACTACTGCTTCTTCCTGCGCAATGTAAAACAACACCAGAATGGATCTCTATCAACTTAGGAACAAAACAAAAGTACTCTTTCCTCTGCAGCAGCTAACATGTAGCTGCATGGCTTGTCCAAAAAGGAAGTACCTTGTGGCATTGATATTTGCCATGCTGCCAGTTCATGTGTGTTTCTGTATTACAGCTTTTATTAAGGCAAAAGAGGAGGTTTAGGAATGCTTGCATTTAGAACAGATGTAAGTCATAGTTATTTCATTAAGACTGACAGCAGGTAACATGTATGTATGCTTGTTGTGTAAAGAGTTCTGTCTTTTTTCTTACCTCATCTCATAAAAGAATAAAATCCGGTGTTAAGCGCAGCTCTAGTTAAGCCATTGAATTGATTCAGAAATTAATTTTGTGGTTGGTGAGAGACTGGTCACAGTGTGGGCCAATTGGACAGTGTATGGGTAGGTATTCAAAAAGGCAGTCTTACTGCCCTCCAGCCACTCAGTCCATTCTGTTGGGTTTGGGTAGTTTGGCTTTTTGGCTTGTCTTTTTGTTTGTTTTGTTTTTGAAGGAATAATATGTGTCCTTTCAGGTCTAGGGTTTTTTTTGTGTGTCATCTGAGAGATGGTAGGATGGGAGTGCTTCCTTTCCCCTGTGCGTGCAGCAAATTGCTGCCCTGCTAGCACTGATATCATTAGCTTGCAATACAGAGTTAAATATGATTCTTTCATAAGAGCCTTCAAATAGTGTGAGTTTGACAACATCTTAATTTGAATTATAATATTAGAGACCAAATTGTTGGAAAAAAGGTCGTAACTTAATTTGTTATTTAGCTAAATAATGGACAGTTTTCAGCTAATTTAGTTCAACTAAATTTGGGATGGTACTAGTTTATTTGACATCTCTTCCACTGAACATCTGGACTGATCTTTAATTCTTTAGGGAGTTGCAGGCGGTTCATGTTCATCCTCTCACCTTGTTTGGAAAAGAACTGGGCAGGGTGGCATGGTTTGGATTGGTGCTTGCATAAGTGCTGAGTTACTGAATGAAAAGGTCTGTAATTGATGCTGTAGCTGGGAGTGAGATAACCACAAACCATGTATTATGCTCGCATGTGGCTGTGGCTGGCCTGTTTTTTGGGTTTTTTTTGAGTACATAATTACCAATACCTTCTTTTGGATTTGTTGAATAATCAATGTACTTGATTTTCACCTGTGACATGTAGGTAGATAGTGTAAGAAGTTCAAAACCAATAAATATCTTCAGGGTATTTTTTCTAGATTTCATTTGCCCATAAGAATTACCTGTAACTTAGGAGACCAGTAGTTGTGCATAAGTAAAAATTAGTTCTGGACTTTAGGATGAGAATTGGGGGCCAGTATTAGTTTATTGGCAAAGCGGCTTACAGGGTAAGAATCTACATTAGCTGTCCCACTCTTTCAGTGATAGTTGTTACTGCTCTTGCAGGCAATCAAGTTCAATTACATGACTTCTTCAAAGGATGGAAAAACATCTGCTGAAGTATTCTAAAAAGATTAATTTATTTGTAGCAGCAGTTCTAATTGTAAATACTGAGCAAATACCTGCATTTTTTGGCAGTCAAAATACAGGATAGGTTATGACAGAAAAATGGACTTAAGTGTCTTCTTTGAAAGAGATCATAAAATACAGACAAAGCAGGGAGCCAGCATCTTCCCAGATATATTTTTCCCAAATCCAA